TCGAAGAAAATAGAGCTACGTGTACACTGTTTTAAACAAATTTGTTATCAGAGGCATGAGATACTGTTTCCCAGAAATTGTTTTTAAAATGACAATTGAAAATATTCTGGTTATCATTTTTCATGTATTCTGTGTGTGATTTAGATTCTTTATTTAAAACCTGGCCAAATGGATTAATAAAGTCTGTTAATGATTAAGAACTAGGGAACTCATTTTGATTTAGTGTGTACAACTGTATGATTAAAAAAAAAAGTAAAAGAGAGCGACAGCATCCCAGCTACTCGGGAGGCTGAGGCAGGAGAATGGGGTGAACCTGCACGGCAGAGCTAGCAGTGAGCCGAGATGGCGCCACTGCACTCCAACTTGGGCGACAGAAGGAGACTCAGTCTCAAAAAAAAAAAAGAGAGAAAGAGAGAGAGACACGGCATTTCTCTCTAGCTATCTTTAAAATATACACAGTGGCCACTGGCAAGTGTGTAGTAATGTATAAGGTGAGTTGTCATGTTCTATTTGTGTCAGTTTCAATAAATGTGTTATCTATTCTCCAGACTTTTATTGATAAAGACAAGAATCAAAAGCAGGCTGTGAAGAATAAACCTTAAACAGTAACCGCTATACTTTCTCGCTGCATGCATAAACTTTCTATGAAAAATATCTGAATTTAAGGTCATCTATGTCATCGAGTTTCAACACACCATGTATGCTGTGTGCCCTGTGTGTGTGTGATTTGCAGAGCCCTTAAATTTAAATTTATTTCAGAAAGGAAAGCATCAGTGTGGTGTATAACAAAGTTGTATGAAGGGTTATCAGACCTCTAAATATATCAAAAACAAGGAAAAACTGCATTTTTTCTAAATCAATTTGGTAAACTACTACACTGACTTCTTATAATTAAAAAAAAATTAACTCAAATTTACTGTCTTTGAGTCAAGTATTTTAACATTTCATACTGTTTTATTGAAGACTAAGGAATTCAGACTTTGGGTTCTTGACCAAGACACATTATATATGGAATAATTAGTGCTAGTCAGGATGCTGTTGAAAAAGCACATGAATATTAATTTGTCACACACAGCAATTATAATCAAAATTAAATGTGCAAGTAAACCCTGCATTGCTTTTGTCTATCCTGCTCCCAAGGATTATTTTAAACCATGATGTGAAAGTATTTCCTGATAATTTATTCACTATTGGTAGGAGAGTTTATATTAAGTTTGATATGCAAATAATTGAGAATATTAATAAGTATCTTGTATTTGTGAATATCTAATGAGGGTGTGTCCACTGCCTCTGTAAGAGAAGGATATCTTCAAGGTCTCATGCCTTCTCTAGGGAGCCCTTTGTTCTGTTTTTGATAATTCATCACATTTTCTTAAAAAAAACAAATCTGGGGCAAATTTTGGCCTTTGTTTTCAAGCTTTAGAATTGGATATTTTCTTGTCCATCCCTTTTTTTAATTACCTGTCTGAGGTAAATTTACATTAACAACAACCACAAAAACAATCCTGTATTTTTCTCCATAGAAATTCAATGTGATATTATAAATGTAAATATTATCCATTGATAGATATACAGGTTCTAACTATTTTTGAGCCTTAGTGAGACAGACTTACAGCCATTAATTTTTTAAAGAGTTGTGTTCAAGCGCAAAGATGACAGGTGACCAGATAAAGTGTGGGTTAGAAGGACTGGATAACAAGCCATCAATTTGGAAGGGAAATCAGAGATAAATGGTCATCCACCTTATTTGACAGATGAGGTCATGAAATCAGTCTTATGTATAGATAAGGTATAAGTTTTCACAAAGACAACTTTCAATAGAAAATATTTTCTAATTCATTTCCAACAATAAGAGATTGCTATCACACGATTAATTCTTTCATAGTCAACAGTACACGTGCAATCAATACAGGTATCCATGACAAAAAATTATGAAAGTACTAGAAACCTGTTCTCTATTTTATCAAGATTACATCTGGTTACCCCTGCTATTATCTTCACTGGAGTATGCAGCATTATCCCTCAGCATCCCCTTTCCCCCAACACACACGCTGTCCTTATTGAAGTTTAGTGGGTACCAGAAGCAAAGGCACCTATTTAGGCACCTCTGGGAGAAGTTATGCTTAAATTTATAAAAAAATATATTTGAGAACATTATACACTACAAGGACAACAATCATTTACACTCATTTTTGATGTTCATTTCTAAGAGATAATCTAGCAGAGATGTTATTCTAGAATCTTGTGAATTTTCTAACCCAAGATTATTTCTGCTTGCCTAAGAAAGAGAAGGAACTGAAAAATGCCTATATGATCAAAATGTTGCCAAGTTGGCTTGTCTTTAAATGCTTTGATTTCATTGGCATTCCATGAGGCAATCACTTTGATGTTCGTCAAATTAAACAAAAGTAAAACTACTAAGGTATTCGACTCACGAATTTAATATACATTTATGTGTGTGTGTGCGCGTATGTATGTGTGGTTACAGTAGGAAACAGATTATAAGAGAATGTTGTGGTTCTAAAGGAGTGAATTTCGCCTTTTACCCTCACTATTTCTTTAAAAGGGAAAGAAATAATAAACTAGGATGAGATAAAGCTTATTTAAAGCCTTCATTTCCCAGGGCATATTGGGATGCATTTAAAACTGAGAACAGCCTTGAAACCTTGTGCTGGTTTTGCCTAGATGAGGATTGAATTTCTGAAGACAAAAGTACAAACACAGTATAGACATGCTATCCATTGAAAACACCGAATCTATACATTTGAATAATAATAAAAAAGTATTCTTTATATATAAAATGTCTCCCAGGTACCAAAAGATCAAATAAAAATCCCACCCCTCCTACTGTGTTCCTAGGTTGGTTATATACTTATTTGAGAAATGCTTCATAGCACTTGTTTCAGTGCAGTATTTTCTGGTTTGTGGGGCTGGAATCAAACGGACCACTATTCCCTTTGCCCCAACACACAGACTTAGGAAGTCAGTGCTCCCTATAGCACCATACTGCACGATCGGTGTGCATGACTGCGGCATCCATCAGACATATTCTGGTAGAGATCTGGTTACTGATAGCCTTAGCCATGGGCACCTGAGGCCCCACTCAAATTATAGCTGTCATTCAATCCAGAAGCCAATGGGCATTCTCTTGAAGTCCGCTTGGCTCTTCTGTTCTCTTTATTGGTAGGTCTGATTTGTTACTCTGATCAATACAGGTTAACTTGTGAAGTCCTATATACAACACTCTTCCTCCTCCAGACTACCTTGCTATTACCTTGCTATTGCTACTTAGAAATGTTAATCATTGGAAGTGTGATAAATTTACAAATATTTAGTTTTTAACCCATAGCAAGGCAGATATTGGGGTAGAGTGTAAAACACAGAGCATTTAATATACATAGGAAATTTAGGAAAAAAAATTTTGATGCTAATTTTCCAGTCATTTCTACTATTTCTCATCATTATAAGATTACTCACATATTTTGAATTGCATCCCACAGTAGTCACAGGCAAATGAGAATAACATATGCTTTACAAAAAAAAAAGGGATATCAGAAAATGAGTCAAAGTAAAAAAATAACAGGTACCATCCATTCTCCAGCAAATAATGAATATGTAGTGTATTTAATTACAAATTTCCAAATATATATTCACATAATAAAGACAAGGAAAATGAAGCAAAATCAAATGTATTTTGTTGAAATAAGCACATGAGCTTGAAGGATCAAGTACTGATGGCTCCAAGTGTTTTCCATGTTAGATTCACTTTGAAAGTACTGATGCCATCAGCACTTGTCAGCTGGCGCCCAAGGATGTAAACTTTGAGCTTGGATACTTTTCACAGGAAAGCCTCATATTCCTAAAGGAGACAAATGACCACTAAAAAGTAACCATTAATACAGATTATTTATGGAGGATTTTATCTTGACTACTAATTAAGGGAGTAATTGTATCTCTGAACTTTATATCAGACTTCCAGTAGATTTGCCAGATTACTAATGCTTTTTTAGAATACATGGGGGTGGGGTTATAGTCACATAATACAGTTTTTCGTCTTTTTAAAAAAGGGGTTGGACCAAGACATAAGTTTCATTGACAATCTTAATGTTTTCAGTGTAAACAATATGTTAGAATAACTGCAGTGAGTCGCACAGCATATAACTTCTTAATGGTAAATTCAGAACCAATCTTCCAGATAAGCAAGTACAACATTTTAGTTAGAAACAAAAGCAAAACAAACAAAACAAGAACAAAGTTGACTTCAACAAAGTTTTGAGGCCTTCCAGTTGTTTGATAATTGTGATAAATTTCAACACGATGACATATTGGATGCCCAACTTATTGGGTTTTTATAGACCTGTTGGTTTTTAAGACCATTTTCTAAAATGTTCCCATAGATGTATTTTTAAATGAGAACTCAGATGATCTAGACATTACAAATTTATAATAATCTTTTGAAATTCTACCAATATCACCTCCATATTCAAAACAATGGAACTATAACAGAACAAATAATAAATATCACACAACCTTTTGTTAAATATAAAGTGCGTTTTTACCAGTGTTTCAACATCTGAGACTTTGAATTTCTATTAAGTAGTTCTGATAAATACATAGTGCTCTTTCTTTTTTCTGGATGACAATATGTCTAATAACGGATGTTCCCAAAGAGCAATTTGCAATGTATTTTCAACAGAAACAACTTAACCTGAAATAAGAACTGTATATATTCACTGCTTGACTCAGAAATAGTTATATTCCTTTTCCATGGAATGTGTCTTCCACCAAGAGATTTTAACCAAGGTCTTCCCAAACTGCAGTAAAAGAAATCTTTTATGCTTTCAAATACGGTGCCTTTTTATTTAAAACAGTGTAAACATAACAACTCAACACCACCAATAATTGGAAAAAGACTGGGTATGTGAACACTAATTTCCTCATATGTCCCATGAAAGTGAGGGTAAATAAACAGACAAATCTTCAGGAGAGGTTTCAGTTCACCTTAGCAGTGGTAAAAATATTGCTTTATTCCAAATGAACATACAACACAATTTACTGTTCTCTTGGGGGGCTTCTTGTGAACTGAATAGTCTGGGTTTTTTTATTTCAACAATTTATTCTTCCCATACTAACCACAGAAGCCAAAGCCTTGGTCCACACATAGTAGACTTGCTATAAAATAAATAGCAATGAGGATGATGAGAAAGCAAATGGTAACTGTCAATTTGTTAACTGTCTTGTGTTAATAATTTAAGTAGGCATGATTCAAAATAAACACACACCCTCAATTAACTCACCTTATGATACTGATATCATTAATGAGCCAATAGTTGATCCTCTCAAAAGTATTCACATCAGAAAATGGTCTAGACAGTGTCAAGAGTTTTATACGACCCCACCATGCAAGTGACCTTGATTTAAGAACTAACTGAACTTTATACTTAATGGAAAAATTTAAAGTGAACAGATCTAAGAGGGAAATACTTTTTCTGAATATTAGATTCCCTGATGTTTCAGAACAAATTTTAGCAAGCGTAATACGCGCACACATGCACACACATACGCACAATGAACACATGTGCTTACAGCATATGTGTCCGCGTGAGCAAGTCCACACACACACACGCTCGCACACACATGTGCACACAGGCACACAAAAACTGAGAAACGCTCCTCCAGAGCCTCTAAACAATCTCAAGGAAAAACATTTCTATTAGCATGATTTTAGTGACACGACATAGTGACTTGTTTGTCTCTTTTTCTGTAATAATTTCATACCTCCAGCTGAGATCTGTGCATTCAAATCTCAGAGGAAGGTGGCACACAAGAGTAGTTAAGATTGCCCCCGGTTTCTCCTTCTATCTCCTGTCCTCCTCCCCATTGCAGAGTCTTTTGTGGCATTCTCCAAAAATCAAATAGAAAACACTACATTTCTCGACATGACATAACCTGTGATGAGGCTATTGGGTGAATAGAAATTTAGGGCTTGGGACTGGCAAGCCAAATGGCAAGGGCCACCTGCTCACTGGCGCATCCAACTGCAGGATGCAGCTCTCCTCTTTTTGAAACCAGTGTGTTTTCATGAGACACTGGCACTTGTGGGGCCAAGGGTCTGAATTGCCCACATCTTCTAAGAGCCAAAGAGGACAGTGTTGGGACTAACTGAAATTGGATTCAGAATTCTACCCCAAAGCTTTAATGGTAAGCTTTATCCCTCCTGAAACATTTCTTTCCCTTAAAAAAATATTTTGTTAAAAAACACTATGATATGAGGGCGATAGACTATTTGGTTTCTTCTAAGTAGATGCTCTTAAATTAATGCATATAAATAATTTGTATTTGATTTCCTCTCTTTCCTGTTGAGCAAAGCATAGAATGCACAGATTCCTACATCTCCAGTCACTTGGTCAATGCAGAGTCTCTTTGTATTTCATTTCTTAAGACAAATTGTGCCTCTCGTTCTGATTTGGCCGTGGGACTCAGGGGGAGAAAGGCTGTGTTTTCGCTTGCACTGTCCTCGGTTTCTACGCTGGCCAGTTCGTAGTCTTCTGACCGTCTGGCATCAGTCAGAATTCGGATCTGCTCCTGGACAGTTTCTAGCAATATTTTCACTTCCTGTTGTTCTGCTATAAGACAATCGCTGACTGGAATACTCACATTGACAACGTCAGCTGAATAGGAGTTTTTGCACCATTTGATGCTTTTGACTTCAGAAATCCCTGGCATTTGCAGGCAGGTTTCCTCTAAACCCACTGAAGGGATGATGGGCACAGAACTGGCCCTTGTGGATGAATAGCCCACCAGGTCCTTTTGCTCCAAGCTATTAAAATAGGGGTTTGTCTCTCTTGAAGGCAGTTGCATATTTATTGATGTATTTCGTTGAGTTTTTAAACCATTGGATGAATACCTGAAAAAGAAACACAGTGTTACTCCTTCTGCCTTCTGCTGGGCTTTGTTAGAGCAATACTCAATCCACAAAGCACTTTTCACATGCACCATCTCACTGAATTCTCACAGCAACCCCATGAGACGGATAATAGATTCCCAGTTAAACAGAGAAGTAAACTGAAGCTCAGATAGGTGAAGTGACTTGCCCAAGGTCACACAGAAAATAAGTGACAGACTGAGACTCAAACCCAGATCTTCTTACTTTAAGTCCAGGGGTCTTTCAACACACCACAGCTGTATAGGCAGGTGGGATATAGTCTTCCTGACCTCTATCCTAGAATACAAAGTAAATGGGGATTGAGCAGGTAAGTGTGGCCTTTCCATTGTGACAAACAGGACACCCATAATGGCATTAGTCCACTCCATCAACTCGACCACCCTCTCAGCCCTGGGTTAGCCCAGTAGACTTGTTGTGGCCACCCTAGTTGAAGCCAATCAAGAAGCCCAATATTAAGCATCCAGGTACTACAATCACGAGTTTTTCTGCTTCACACCGATTTTAGGGGATCCAAATCCAATTTCCACTGGCACTGTGCTCTAAAGGAACCACCTCACTGCCAGATTGCCGAGCCAGCAGATGGGAGTGGGAGGATAACGATTCCTCTACCTGCCTGGGGCTGAATATGAAGTGGGTCTCATAGGGCTTCTATGCATCTAGCATCTTTCCTTACAACCAAGTAACCAAGAAACCAAGTAAGGTAGTTCTTTGGTCCATGGCAAGGACTTGTCAAGAACGCCAATATGCCATTGCAAGTCATTTGAATACAGCAGAATCTTCTAACTTCCCTTATTGCCTGTTCAGGGCTAGTAAATCTTTCTCCTCTGTGCTGTTCAGGGACAGAAAATGGGACAGGTACATAGCAGATTTGTAGAAATGGGGTTTTGGAACTTGAACAGTAGTGTCTTATTCTATTTCTTAGTTATTTGTCCCTAATTTAAATGTTAAACATTCAAATTTTGACACAATTTAAACGTATCAACCTTCCATACAATAAATCTCATTTCCTTGACTTCCATTATTATGTAAATGAAAATCATGTTTATACATGTAGATACTAATTGCAATGCAGTGTGTTGCATACTAAATACAAATCTTTATTGTAAGGACATGATTGGGAGCAAATTAGAGGTCTTTCCACCAGACAGTGAACACAGACAGGGAAGAGATTGAGGCCTCTGTAGTCCCATCCTCTCTTACTGTGCCTAATACGGAATTGATAATCAATACACTTTAACCAAGTGAACACATGAATACATAAAGAAGTCTTCAAGGTAAACTCCCCCTTTATATCCTACTTAATGTCTGTTTTCAAACTTAATAACAACAGCTAATATCTGTACAGTGCTTGTAAAAATCACTTTCACCTCCAATTAACTTGTTTTATTTTTTAAAAACCTTGTCGTTTATCTATTATTATATTTAATGGATGAGTAAAATAGACTAAGATGATTTTCCCAAAATTATATCTTTAGTAAGAGTCACACAGAGAATTTAAACCCAAGTTGTCTTATTCTAATTATTACTGTCAATGTTAGAGGTTGCTAATGAATGAATATATCCTAAGGTGAACCAGAATACCTTTTCGGGGATATGTAATCTTTATTCATACAAACTGCACAGCAACATATTTGGAAATTCTTGGGGAATATTACTCCATTCTCATTAGTGTTATATAACTGAAAATATGAGCCTAAAAGTTCAAATCAATAAATCACTTTCAACAAGAAGTAAGGAAACAAAATTCAGGCTTTTGTTTTGCTCTCAGCACCATCCTGTTAGCATGATTTGTATGTATGAAAATATAGAAAGTCTGCCTGTCAGGTTCACCAGTGAAACAGGGACAAGAAATGTAGCCAGGATAGCATTTCACATAAATATCATCAGGGTATACCAGCAGGTAGAATCTGCTAAGTTGATACGCGATGGTGATAGGTAAAAATTCTTACACTTGGATCTAAACAGTTGGATAAAGGTGCAAGTATCTTAGAGAATGTTTTTAAATTGTAAATTCAACAAGTCAACTAGGTGACATGACTAAGACATAATCAAAGGCAATTCACGCCAAACTTTGAGCATTCTTCTCATTTGCCAGAGGTCTGACTAAAGGATTTAGATGAGAAAGAGGAATTGCAGTGGACTATTATGTGTTACTTTCCAAGTCAGGCTTTGAACACATGCCTGGCAACAACCAAAATTTAAAATGTTACCATGACATGAAGATGAGTTGTAAACAATGAGAACTTTCCTAACTGTGATTTTGTTTTGAATTAGACATGATTTCAAGTTCTAAAATTACTATATGCTCTGGAATCTCAGGCAAATGGCAGCCTCACTTTAATTTTGCCATCAATTAAAACAATCAGGTAATAACACTAACTTGATTGCTCAGAGGGAAGGGGAATTTTTCTGAGGACTAATTGAAATAATGTCTCTGCCCTGTTCTACTAGAGACACAGTGGCAAGCCTCATGTCCCCCCAGAGATGCTATGAGTGTCCCAGCACTGGTATTCCAGCAGAAGTTTAAGTGAGAGCTACATTTCTAGATGTAATTTCTGAGTCAGAGGATTCAAAGTTCTGTATCCCTTGAGGGCCACTGATGCTTCCACAAGTTCTGTCCATGAGCTTGTCATTTCGTTTTGGGCCAGTCTTCCTCTCATCCTCAACAAAGAAATTACAAATGCATCTTGTCTGTAACTATGTGAGTCGAAGCATTCTTTTAAAGAAGAAAGATTCCAAGTATTAGTCACTTGGTTTGGTTCCCAGTCATTCATGAGTCATGCTAAGGAATTTGTGTTTCTCTAGGAGACTCCAAACCCTCTCAGTTCCTAGGGCACATGACAATGAATGAACAGACTATTCTGAAGGAATCCACACTTTCCTCTGAAGTCAGAAAATTACATACTCCATTTACAAATCATCAGCCATAAATGTGGTTTTCTTCATATTCCTTGTTGATTTAGTGGTTTAGTTAGTCAGAAAAGCCAGTATTCAATCTCAGCTCTTTTACATGGGACTGTGTATGTCACATTGGGCTAGCCATTTAAATGCTGATATCCTTATTGTGCTTATCCATAATATTTCTAAAGAATAACTGAAGGAAGTATATAAAGTTGCTAGCTAGGTGTGGTAGGTATTTAGTATATTTTGAATTTTATCTACTTCTAAGATGTGAATCCAACTTTTGTGATCCCATCTCTTTTTGTCTGGCATATGAATACATTAGCTTGATTTTCCTGACATGATACAATTAAAACTCTCTGAGCCATTACCATGGCTGTCATTGACCAGGGTTCCAGTCATGACAAAGTTTCCTCAAGAATCTCCTCTTCACCTCACTCCTTCCCCAGGCCACAATAAGATAGACGTTAGGTTCAAGCTGGGCTGAAGTTCTTGCCAAGGAAAGAAGCCAAATACGTTGGGAGCCTAACTGTCATAGACAGTGCCCACTTGCTTGGTAAACAAGCAGCAGATAGCTGATGGCTCTTGCAAATTCATTTCCCCCTCCTCCAGGCTGGGGCCAAATTTAAAGAGGGCCTTTAGCTGTGAAATTCTATTACCAATCCCATTTCCAGTCCAGAGAGACAGTCAGCCCCATGGGAGTGGAAAATAGCTGTTTATAAGAACTGAGAATGAGATTATTCCCTGAGATTCATTGTGCTGGGCATACAGTGACTTACACTTAGAGTCACCATTTATCAGCATCTGGTAGATATCACACATGGGAAAATACCTGTGACCAGGCAGCTGGAGAGAATATTCCAACCCAATCGTGACTGAACCAAAACAAAACCACCACCATGCAGAAAATAAGTGTGAGTCTCCTAGGAAGTTAAAAAAACAAAGCATTGCCTGAACATGTAATGTGATCTCTGAGCCCCTGATGATATGTGCATGGTTCAAGCTTGAGCCTGGCGTAGGCTCCAAGCACCCTTACTCCTCGAACATATGGAATGAAGGTCATAACAGTGCCCAGTAGAAAAAAAAAAAAAAAAGCAGCATGGGCTGGGTTTTTTGTCCACTCACAAAATCTCTAAAGTTGGTTTTCCCTCATTTGTTCTTGTAACATTCATCCCAGGGATTTTATGTATATGTATATAGTCATATTCATTAGCAAGAGGCATCATTAGTCAATTACATAGAAAAGGCACTATGAAACATGATCAATTATAATTATGGGTTAAATGCAAGCCTGCTTTTCCACAGATAAGACCAAGAGAAATGCAAACTGCTTCTTGACTCGCATTATACATTTTGAACCCCTTGGCTGTTATGTTTGCTTTGCAACTGTCACCCTAAATCTGTACCAAATGCCTTTTACAGTCCATTTGGAATTGCTTCAAAATTATAAACCTAGCCACCAGCCATTTATTTCCTATCTTCTAGTTTTCCTAAAGAAATCTGTTGCTGAACTTTGTTAGACAGGACACTGCTCGATATATCCCATTCCCATATGAAAAGAGAAACGTGAGATTCTATGCTAGACCTACCCACTGTTTTGGTCTTTAGCCTGATAGAGACAGTCTGGAAAAATCATCCAGGTCAAAGCAGCATAGAAACCAGGCCTGGCTCATTCAGAGAGATAAAAACAGAGCCACAAGAACCTGGCTTGAGTGAGGGAACTGATTTCTGAAATTTCTAGAATAAACTCCGATTGCATTGCTCTTGAAATTATTGAAAAAATTATAACAATTACTGTAACAATAAATACCAGTACCATTTCTCTGCTTACTATGTGTCTACTGCAAACTCTTTACACACATGGTTGTTTTAAACCTGCCCAACAATCTTCAGGGGGTTGACATTATTTTGCTCAATTATTTGTATTTTTCTTTTCTTTTTTGAGATAGGGTCTCTCTGTCACCTAGGTTGGAGTCCAGTAGCACCATCTGCACTCACTATAGGCTCCATCTCTGAGGCTCAAGGGATCCTCCCACCTCAGCCTCCGAAGCAGCTGGGACCACAGGTACACACTACCATGCCCAGCTAATTTTTGTATTTTTGGTAAAGATGGTGTTTGCCATGTTGCCCAGGCTGGTCTCAAACTCCGAGCTCAAGTGATCTTCATGTCTCAGCCTCCCAAAGTGCTGGGACTATGGGTGTAGCCACAGTGTCTGGTCTATTTTTCTCAATTTATAGATAACAGCATCTAAGACCACATCATAAAATATTCTCAAAGTCACACTAGTAGTAAGGAGCAGAGATGGGATTTGAAGTCCAGTCAGTGTAAGTGAGGATCACATGCTAAGTTGGGTAGTTTATGCCAACTACGTGAATAATGGCTAACATTCATCCTGTACTCAGCTCACCATGCTTTGAGGCCTCTATGGATCTGTGTTCACCAGAGGAAGGGACATCTTTTGCACTGTAAAGAGCAGCAACGATGGTGTCCAAAGCCCATCCTTCTACCCCTGTACCATGAATAACTTGCAGATATGAGTTTAGTAAGTTGTACTTTGACTTTACACTCTCAAGATTGACCCAGATTCTACATTCAAGCTCAGGGGAAGCAGATACTGTATATATGCCATGAGTTATTGTTTAGTGTATTGTTCACAATACTTATCAGGAATTAAGTCCTTTTCCTAATCTGCAGATGAAGGAACACTGTAATCCTCCTTTGATTTTTTAAATCAAAGAGAAATTTCCAGTTGTATTAGCAAGTGATCTAATAACATATTGCCTAGATATCTACACTTACTTTCTTCCTAATTATATTTCTTTCTAATGTAATGTTTTCCCGATACCTATTTCCATCACACCTATACTTTAAAGTTGGTTCACATTTTGTAGAACAAAGATGGCAGTAAGCATACATAGCTAGTTAATGAATAAACCAATGAATAAAACCCCAAGGAACTTAAAACTTAATTTAAAGCTATGGCATTAAAGACACCTTCCCTAAATTCCACTGCTGTTTTGAGACCTACCCTTGGCAAGGTATCGTATCCTGGTCTGGGATCCTTGATTCTTCGAGTTGCTGATATGCTGGTCCCACAATTCCGCCTAGCCTACTTCGGGGTGACGGGGGTGTCCTTCTGAAGGCATTCCTATGGAGCATGCCACTCCTTTGCCCTGGGCTGCAGCAAGAGGATAAACTCCTGCTGAGGTGGAATGAAAACAGACAAACAAACAAACAAAAGACATCATAGCAATAACCTCACAGGTGGCTGTCCAAACTTTGCAAACACTGAATCTGCACCCCAAGTCCTCAAAGTTCTAGGCCAGGGGCCATCCATGAATATAGTATATGTGGTAGAATGGGATCAGGAATAGCCCAATCCATTTTACCTTTGGAGACACTGAGAAAAAGGGAAGTTCCTGGATTTCTGGCTTTCTAGGTTAGAGCGTGACTGATGAAAATCACTGCCACTTTCCAGCCAGGGTAAGAGGCGAACTTAAGGAATTCTCAAGCTCCTCATTCCCATCCATCCTGATTATCCAAGGCATCGTTGGTGTCTCTCTGATAGAAATAAAAATAGCCTTCTTATGAGACACTGATGAAAACTAAACACAGTAAGCCCAGAAGGGATTTATTGGGGAAAATATTCACTTATTAGTGATAGAATTAACAAATTTTAATTGGCATTTTCTCATTAACATATGTTTAAATCCCCTGTTCACTACCTCAGATTTTAATCAATCTTGACAAACTAAATTATTTTTCTTCGGAGTTTGCTTTTAATAAACATCTGATTATATAGTTTATTTGACTCATACATCCAAATGCCTAAATAACTATATGTTTATAGATGCCATCAATGAGCACAACATTTAAGTGGCTTACACCACAGGCCTTAACAAAGTGAGAATTCTTACATAGATTATGTACAGAAAAGACCTAGACTCTATAAAAATCCATTGCTGATGAGACTTATTACCTGTTCCTTATCCATTCCCATCTCCACCCCACTTAATTAACCCTACTGTAGACTGGTGAGGAGAACTTTGTTCACGTGTAGACATTCCACGAGATGCTAGTTTATGTGGTCACACTGGTTCTGCGGTGCTCAAATAATAAAGAAGCTGAGAATTTTGTGCTGCATTCTCATTTAACTCTGTAAATATCAATACAACCATAGAAAGAAATATGAAAACATTCTCGAAATTTTAATAAATTTATGAATGTTCTAAAGAAACCAGTCTCTCAAAGACATTTTACCCATATCACTATATTATTTGGGGTTTTGTCACTTTTCTTCCATCAATATTACTATTAATTCTACTTAGTCAATACGAAACAGGACTTTGCAAATATTATTTAAGGTCAGAGTTTGAAAATCTGATATTTGAGTGTTAATAGCCACTTTCTTGGTTGTGGCAAGGTGACTGATCAATCTCTATATTCCTCAAGCCAACATTAACTTCCTAAATTTGTGCAAGCAGAAGATCATATCTGGTAACATCCTTTATTATACCTTTATTCTTTTTTTTTTTTTTTTTTTTTTTTTGAAACAGAGTCACCCAGGCTGAAGTACAGTGGCACGAACTCGGCTCACTGCAACCTCCACCTCCTGGGTTCCCATGATTCTCCTGCCCCAGCCTCCCAAGTAGCTGGGACTACAGGTGCCCCCCACCATGGCAGGCTAATTTTTGTATTTTTAGTAGAGATGAGGTTTCACCATGTTGGCCAGGCTGGTCTCAAACTCCTGACCTCAGGTGATCCACCTCCTAGGCCTCCCAAAGTGCTGGGATTACAGGCGTGAGCCACTGTCCCTAGCCCCTATACCTTCATTCTTTATCATGATACTTCTGGTGTGGTGTGTCCCTAAATGCCTAACAGGGGATGTCTAGTTAGCTCACTAAGCCCACAAGTTGGAGAAGCTCTCTAGCAGCTAATTTGCTTCCTTGCCTTCCTACTTTCATCTATCATCCAATGGCAATGATGGGATCTGCAGGGCGTGAAGGATGAGATGCTAGAGTTAATTAGCTGCAACTGAGTATAAGTCTTGGGTCTGCAGGTAACTAGTTGCTGGAAGCATGATGCTGGCGGAGGTACTTGTAGCAGTCAGAGTCCCGGACAGACATAGATGGCAGTTTAACTTGGTTCATTGCTAGAGATTTTGCTATATACAAAAGTGTGATCAGTGTTTGAGGGGAAAAAAAGCAATAAAGGAGGCTGCCGTGTCTCAGGACTACTATGAGAAGCTATTATTATCCCTCTGACTTAAGGGACAAGGAGAGGGAGCAGTTCCTAGAATGGAGAGAGAAAGTGAATTGTAAGGAGGGGGCCGCATTGCAGGCTCCATGGCCCCAGAAAAGGGACATACTGAAGGCAACCAAGCAGGGAGGAAGGGTACACAAGGGCCATGACCTCACTCTCCTCCCTGCCGTCTATCTCATGCCTGTGCCTCACACTGAACCCACAGAAACCAGAGGACAAGGGAGCCTGCAGCCGTCCTGGTGTACAGGGCAAGGCAGAAAACAGAAAAGGTAGAAATTGTTGCCAGTGTGAAAAGGGAGTGGCAAAAGGAAGATATCAGCGTTCTACTTAAGAATTTTCCTAGGTTCGCTATGGGATGTGGAGGTTTAAAGAGAGGAAGTATGCAAAGCATGGAGCATGGAGCCTGGCACACAGTAGGTGCTCCGCACGATAAGTTCCTCTAGCTCCCCTGCCACACCTGGCAATTCAAAGGGTCTTCTCTGTCACTGAAAACCCTGGAATTACTTCAATGCAAAACACCTACATACGTGGTTTTTATAAGTGACACGGCGAGGCACAGTGGCTCACACCTGTAATCCCAGCACTTTGGGAGACTGAGGTTGGCGGATTACCTGAAGTCAGGACTTCAAGACCAGCCTGGCCAACATAGTGAAACCCCATCTCTACTAAAAATGCAAAAATCAGCCTGGTGTGGTAGCACGTGCCTGTAGTCCCAGCTACTTGGGAGGCTGAGGCAAGAGAATCCCTTGAACTCAGGAGCCGGAGGTTGCAGTGAGCCGAGATCACACCACTGCACTCCAGCCTGGGCGACAGAGCGAGACTCTATCTCCAAAACAATAAAATAATAAAAAAAGATAAATGACTTACATTGCCAAAATATACTGCAATAAATATGACATGCCGTAATAGATTTATTTTCTAAACAGATGGGATTTTTTTGAACTAAACATTAGAAATAATGGCTCTGAATTAATAGCTTTGTTTCGTACATGAGTTATCCAAATGAGTCATATTTGCAGTTCACAAAAGAAATTAATTATTCATAGCTCACTAAACTGTCACAACAACAAAGTCTATCAGTATGAACTAGTGACCTGTCTTAAAAAGAGTTTTATGCCTATTGATCAATCAGCTATTCAGGCCTTCTCACTCAGTGGCATTCAGGAAGTTATGGAGCAGTTTCCAGGATATATAAATCAGTGCCTGGGTTATCAATCATGAAAACGTTTAAGTCTATTGCATGTTTTACAGAACAAAAGCTATGATATATTAAACTATAATTTACAAAGTTCTAAAAGCATTTTGTGAGTCAACCCTTGCCCATCTATCAGGACACAATGTATGCTAACAGATACTGCAATGTCGTTGATCCAAACAAAAAGGAAGGTCTCTTAAAGATGTCCTTATTTAATCTGTGAGTGACTTCTAGACACCATAGCAGAAGCCAAGTTTAGGAAGGAGCATAAAAAAAAGCACATGAGAACTGGGGATAGTAATATTGCAGCTCAAACATATTAAAAGCTGATCTTTTAAAACAAATATATCAATTTTAAAACATTTATGACGGAATATAGTTAATATAATACTAGAATGATATTATACTGAATTACTTGACTAGGTGGAATACTACTTTAACATGTGTTATAATCAGGAGGAGAAAATACCATTTGGGGGAAAATATCCGTCTTCTGAAAGACTGGTAATATTGAACTTATTTCCCTAATTAAGACAACTTCCATTAGGTCCAGTGAAATGAAATGCTCTTTTCACAGGAAAATATTCTGTAAATGCAACATTGATATAAATCAAAACTTGCAGTAAGAATAGCTAAAGCAATTATCCAAGAGCCAAACATATTTCAATCCTAAATTGAACATAGATTCATACCATATTTTTTAAAATGGCAAACTCTCAGTGTTTTAATGTCTACTCATGTAGAATGAGAATAAAAATTACCATCAAGTGCTGAGGATTAGTGTCAAGAGTGACTAAAAATCTCAAAGTAAATGTGGCCAGAAACAATAAAATCCATTTCATGTAACTCATTAAAAGGTGAAGAAGAAAGTAGTTTTCTTCTATCATGTATGTGTCCAGCTTGGTGTTGTGCAAACTATTGCCTAGTATATGACAACAAAGGGGCAACAACATTCAACTTTCATTGCTGGGAACGACTGTTATTTACTTTTTCATTGTTAAAATGTTTAATTTTTCATAATTTTTTCAAATTGTAAAATAGTGTATATCTCACTAAGAAAAGGAAGCTTAAATCTTTGGACAACTTCCATAAAGACTGAGGATGTGTATCTGTCATTTGTCCTAAACTTCATCATTTGGTTTAGAACAAATACCTTAATCTAGCATTTGTCCTAAACTTCATCATTTGGTTTAGAACAAATACCTTTAATATTTGGAGTTTCAGAATCCTGATGTATCAAACAGAAAAGTGGAGACTAGAAGATACTGAAGGACAAGGTTAGCTTTAGAATGCTATGAAATGTGTCAAATAACTACGTTTTTGGCTTTTTCTCCAAAGCAGCCAATTTCTGGGGAGCTTGTAAGAAACTGCCACCCCATTTATAACAGAAGATTTTATAGACCCAAGAAGAAGATTCACCAGGCTTCTTCCCCATGGAAAATTTTATTTTGTAAGAACCGTGTTGGAAAACCTGAAGTCTGTCACATTAGGCTGCACAGGGAAGAATTACACATTAACTGTGTCATCTAGAAAAGGCAGGCCAGGTAACGTATTTTTAAAAATAGTTTTTCAGAATGCAATTTATTTTTTTAACTGATCTGTAGCTTTGATGGGTGTTATTTATAGTTCCATCAAGTTTCTTACAGGGGTAATGCTGTCTGCTGTGGAAACCGGTATCTTTGGTTTACCTGATGTGAGGTGTTTGAGCATCTGCTCCACAGAGAACTACAGGAGAAGCAAGAACAGTTGTCTCTCCTAGGTCATGCTGCCAGTCCTTGGCATGTGCCACCCAGCATACACACAGTGTGAACGTGCCCACTCCCACCATGATGAGCTACTTGTACCTGTGGTGTTTGACAGACTGGCTTCCTCTGTCAGGAGATGGGACTTCAGGGAATGACTGGGGGCCGACAAAACTTGACTCCATCATTTTCTCCAATGCAGTCACAGGATGCCTTTCCACCTTTGAATACTGTGGGAAATCACACGTACAGAGTTGAGATGAAGGATAAGTTATGGGAGGAGGGCCTAGAACACCAGAGCTAGGCACTGAGAAGTTACTGGAATGCCAATTCCTCCTGGTCACCTGATTAGAGGAGCAGGAGATGAGACATAATTTGTGTCCTATTTCCAACACATTGAGTATTCACCTCCCCTGCCCCAACCATCTCTGTGCCTAGACAGGATCCACTGAAGAGGGTTCTTCATGTCAGAATCCCAAGCCTGCTCTCTCATTTTTATTAATGTACACCCATGGCACACTGTGACTGACAGCCAAAAGGTGCTTACATATGGTTTAGTTGATGTACATCTTACCAAAAAAATTGAATTAGTAGCTGGGTTACTACTAATAAGGATTCAATAAACACTTATTAAATTTCATAACATTCTGAGAGTGATGAAAGACATTGGTTCAGAACATCTGGCCACCACGCTCCACTGTTTTTCTCTTTCAGCTTGTTAACAGGTAATTACCATGTTTCACAAGAGAAATTTGGAGCATTTCACTCCTTATAGTTCGGAACTCTTGGTTTCTCCTTTGGCTATAATAACTCGTAAGGTGTGGAAGCCTAAAGAAGGCTTATATAGATGACAACTTCAGAAAAATTTTACCCCAAAAGAAATATCACACGGCATCTCAAGAGTCAATAAGTTGTCAACTTTAATACTCCTTGCACACTGGGCGCTGGAACAGGTAGCAAAGGGTAGAAGAGTTCTCTTCTAGAAACTCCAGGTGAAGACTTTCTTTAGAAATAGAAGTTTAAGGATGCTCATCAAAATAAAAGAGAGTTTGGAGTCTGGATAGTCAGTACCCAACGTGTCAAGTTAAAGATTTTAAGTGTTATCCTGAGTAACTATAAAACTCTAACTCAGTATACCCTTTTTTTTTTTTTTCATTTCAAAAGCAAAGAAGCCACTATTAGAAGCATTGATGAAAAAAATCAAGTTAATCAACCTTTTTGAATCTCACATCTATATGGTGGGATAATAAAATGTCTCTTACAGGGTTGTTGAAAAAATTCACAAACAATACTTAATGCATTTGATCCAGGTAAAAAGAAGGTAGACACAATAATGAAGATGATACTCTAAGATGTTTTCTAGCCTTTTAGAAATATTATCTCTGAATTATAAGAAACTAAAGATAAATTCCACCCTAAGTCCCATTTCTAATCAGTTGGTAGTGGCTGCTTATAGTCTTATATTTACATATATTCTAAAGATGACTTCTGAAGTAAGAAATGGAGAAAGAAAGGGTTCTAACCAGAAGAAAAGTGAATCCAGGAGGAAGGAGTGGGGGATATTTTATTGTAATTTCTTTCTTAAAATGTCGGCTTTAAAATTAACGCTTGAAAGGAAAGTCCAAAGACTTTCAACAAGGCTGGAAGATATTGACAAGAAAAAGAATATAAAAAGACAGAAGAATGAACATTTGAAAAACAAAAAATCCAGGCTGGGATTGTAGAGAATAAAGACAATGTAACATATGCATGCTGATTAATTTTAGACACGGATGAACAAAACATATGTATTTAAGTATTAGAAATTAGACAGCACTAGAATATAAGAATTATATATAAGACATGAAAAAATTAAAATAATTTTAATTCAGCAAAAATTAATAAGAGGGGGCTGTAACAAGAGAGCATGGTAAATCGGAAATAAACAGACAGGAATAAGTGTGAAACTATCAGTGAGGATAAAAACTGTGGATGGTTAGATTTAACTATTAAAAGACAGATTCACGCACTGATTTTAAACATCTAGTCTTCTATGTTCTGAAATAACTAATTTAAAAACAACAGAGAAAAAACTCGATAGAATGGGTAGGGATATACTCTGCAAAGTATAGGGGGAAAAGTTTTTAACAGTAATAATTTCAAGTAAAACATAATTATGTATAAAATGCATTTTAAAAGGAACAAAAATGGATATTTCCTATTAATAGAATGAGCAATCTAGCAAGTGATAAATATTCATAAATTTTTATCTACCTAACAACATAGCTTCAATATGAAAGGCTTTCTCAGGCCAGGCACGGTGGCTCATGCCTGTAATCCCAGCATTTTGGGAAGCTGAGGTGGGCAGATCACCTGAGGTCAGGAGTTTGAGACCAGCCTGGCCAACATGGTGAAACCCTGTTTCTACCAAAAATACAAAAATTAGCTGGGCATGGTGGCATGCACCTGTAATCCCAGCTACTTAGGAGGCTGAGGCAGGAGAATAGCTTGAACTCGGGAGATGAAAGTTGCAGTGAGCTGAGATCGTGCCACTGTACTCAACTAGTCACAAAAATTATAAACCATTAACATTGTCATAACTTAATTACATACGAATTGTGGCAAGGAATGTAACTATGGATAACAGTAAAGTGTAATTTTAGTTTAATTTATATTTTTAGGTTTTGATAAAGAGAAGTGATACAGTTTGGATATTTGTCCCCTTCGAGTCTCATGTTGAAATTTGATCCCCAGTGTTGGAGATGAGGCCTGGCGGGAGGTGTTTGGGGTGTTTGGGTCATGGGGGTTGATTCCTCATGAATGGTTTGTGTCCTCCCTGTAGCAATGAGTGAGTTCTCATTCTATAAATTTATGGAAGAAGTAGTTATTTAAAAGAGCATGGCACCCTTCCCCCTTTCTCTTTTTTCTCTCTCACCATGTGGCACCTGCTGCCCTTTCTCTTCCGCCATGAGCAGAAGCCTCCTGAAATTCTCACCAGAAGCGGATGCTGGCACCATGCTTCTTGTACAGCCTGCAGAACTGTGAGCCAAATAAACCTCTTTATAAATTACCCAGCTTCCGGTATTGCTTTACAGCAATGCAAACAGACTAACACAAGAAGATATGAATGAACTGTTTGGTTAATGGAAATACATTTAAAAACCTTTATAAAACTATATGGGAGATGTATTCATAACCTTATGGGAGAAAGACATTTGTTACCAGGACAAAACACCTAGAGACCATAAAGAAAAAAATATGTAAAATTTGACTTACTACTAATTTAAATATTTTCAGTAACAAAAGTGATTATTAGTAAATCAAAATATAAGTAAAAGCCTGGGGAAACATTGGCTATTCATACGTTAAAGACGATTCTTAAGATATAAAGACAGAAATCAACTGGAAAGAAATTAAAGGCAACAGATGAACAAGAATTTCACAGAAAAATGAAGACAGGCAACATACATATGGCAAAGAGTGCAACTGCACTCATTATAAAGAGGTGGTAGTCAGAATAGAGAAAATTAAGCTAAGTGCAGTGGTGCACAGCTGTAGTCCCAGCTACTTGGGAAGTGGAGGTGGGAGGGTCATTTGAGCCCAGGAGTTAGAGACTGTAGTGTGCTATGTGATTAGCTATTGCACTCCAGGCTGGGCAACATAACAAGACTCTGCCTTTAAAATAAATAGAGAAATTTAAATTTCAAGAATATCTGATAAAGGAAAAGGCCCTGGAAAAGTAGCTGTGGTGCTAACTTGAAGAGCAAATTGACAATATGTTTCAAAATTTTAAATATACTTACTCTTTGATCCAAAATACTACTTTTAGAAATTCTATCATGCAAATTTCCACAATTGCAAAAGTTCAAAATAATAATTTCCAGGGTATATAAACAGTACAATTTTCCATAACGAAACGGAAATAAACACAAAAGTAAAAAAAATTAAAAACAATAGAAACGTCCACAAATGACTACTACACGGCCATTGAAAAGAATAAAAGGAAGGTGCAAAAAAGTACGCATATAAATCCATTTGTGTAAATAAGGAAAATGCAATTAATAGATATAAATAGATTGTATATATATTTATGATTATATATACAATTAGCCTGGTGTTTATATATATATATATATATACAGATTTTTAATGTACATATACATATATTTTTCTGCGTGCATTTGCATGTGTGTTTCTCATGCAACTACTTAGGAGGCAGATTTTTAAAATTAAAATAAATTATTAATTGTCTAATTAGGTGTTGTGCTTGGTAAAAAGTATATCCATGAGTATAAGCTATGGAGACTAGGGAACACATCAAGGTTTTGCAGCTTTAAGTTCAAAAGCTCCAATTAGTTTTCTTTTCAATAACTTCCAAAATAAGCCACATAGTGGCAGTAATGACCATGTCTTGAACCAGAATCTGAATTTTTCACAGTGGACCTATAAAGCCCGGTCAGTCTTTTTTGTAAAATAGAGTAAAACGACAGAGAAAAGAGAAGATACAGAGATAATTTGGAAAAGGTGATTGTTTTCGACAACCTTAAAAATCAAAGATCCAATGCATAATGGAAATACCTCTATGTGTGCTTCATTATTGATTAATTGTGTATTGCAAAGTATCCATGGAAAAAGTCAGATGAATAGACATGTTTACTAAAGTGCAATGATATCCTGAATATCTGTGTGACTTCTAAGCTCTATAAAAGACATATGAGGGTTTGTTATCTTTTTTTATCTAATTAATTGGTTTACAAGAAAAACCTGGGTGCCTAGAAGGCCTAGCTACAAAAACAAGTGAGATGCTCTGGGCAGATCCATGACAAACTGAAGAAAGCAAGTATGTTCAGCAACTGCAGAGAGCTGTGATATGGTTTGGCTGTGTCCCCACCCAAATCGCATCTTGAATTGTAGCTCCCATAACTCCTACGTGTTGTGGGAGGGACCTGGTGGGAGATAATTGAAGCATAGGGGTAGCTTCCTCCATACTGTTCTCATGGTAGTGAATAAGTCTCATGAGATCTGATGGTTTTATAAGGGAAACCCATTTCACTTGGTTCTCTCTTCTCTCTTGTCTGCTGCAATGTAAGAGGTGCCTTTTGCCTTCCACCACGATTATGAGGCCTCCCCAGCCATATGAAACTGTGAGTCCATTAAACCTCTTTTTCTTCATAAATCACGCAGTCTCGGTTATGTCTTTATCAACAGTGTGAAAACAGACTAATACAGGCTGCCAGGGGACAATATCAGC